CAGGAAATATTTTTGGTTCCAGGTTTAAAGATTACCTTGGGGCAATAGTTGCAGGGATTCCTCCAGCCTTACCTGTGCCAGAAAATTTAGATTCCACAAGAATCCAGATTTCTGTTCTGCAGTTTTTGCTGCTTTGATCAGGATTCTTCTATTGATTTATTATTATTATTATTAAAATGATGAGGAATGGCAGCTGGGGACCATCCAGTTCTCTGGTCTCACAGAAAAAGAGACCGTTGTTTGTGGAGGCCAACAACCACCAACCACATATTCCATTTCTTCCCCCCATTCCTGACTCCTTCTGCCTTTGTTGCCCCAGGTGAACAGAAACAAAAAGTGTACACTGGATGGCCACCCGTCAAGCTTTTGTTTTGTTTTTAATCATTTCATTGCACTTCAGGTGAAAATTTAGATAGCAAATTAGTTCTCTAATCAATAGACCGGACACAGATTGTTTTGGTGATGTGGATTGTAGTCTCCACAGTATGTCAGCACCATAGGTTCTGTTTCCTTTTGCCTACTTTCCCTGTCTCTACCTTCTTATCTTTGGTTTGGGGTAAACACTGCCCTTTTTGGTCTCTTAGAGTTGACTTCTAAAGAGCACATCCTTCACAGATGCTGCGGCCTGTTTCCTAATCTCATCTATTATTTGGCTGAACAGTCACTTTTCCAGTTTCCAGTTAGAAGGTTGCTCCAGGACAGCCGTCTCAGAGCTCTCATTCAGACTAACAAATCTGGTTTGGATTTTGTTTTATTTTTTACTTTGACTTTTGTTCTGCATTTTTTCCTTTCTATCCAGGACCTTCCATGTGCTCTTGGTCAAAATGGTCGGTAGTGGCAGCCAGGTGCCATCTCTCTCCTCTGGTCTCAGGTTAGAGGCTACTGTGGTTCCTGTGAGCTATCCCTCCTTTGGTACAGGTAGGAAGAGATCAAGAAATAGTTTTTGATGGCTATCAGGTGAAAGGAAGAAGCAGACAACAGTTAAATCTGGTAAAGGGAAAGGCGATAGAGAGTATGGGAGCAGTCAGAAGAACAAGACCAACTCATTGCTGGTTTGCTAGGTTGCAATTCTCTCCCTCTGAGTCGCTGGTGGATTCTGTCAGAGAGGTTCAGCCTTTGGGTCAGCAGCACAACTCCCTACAAACTACACCACCAGAGCTTCTAAAGGTGGTGTGTGTGTGTGTGTGTAAAAATAATACACACAGAGAAAGAACAAATGAGACTAGAACAGATGAACAAGGAAATTGTTACAATTTCGCTAGTTTGAATTTCAGGCCTCACTTGTGAGATTTAAAAAAACGGCTTTCTCCTGCAACCAGGAGAGAATAAAACAGATGAATAGGACCTTCTAAGAATCAAATCCCTATGCAAATAAAAAAAATTTCTCCAACAGGGCCATAAGGAAACCACAGACTGTGAATAATTATTTGATAATGACATATCTGATAAGGGATTCATATCTAAAATGTATAGAATAGCCCCTCAAGAAGAAAAAGGCAAACAACCCAATAGCAAGATAGGCACAGGATATGAATAGATGCTTCACCAAAGACAACATGCAAATGGCAAACAAGAAATGTTCAAAATCCCTAGTTATTAGAGATGCGCAAATAAAAGCAACTACGAGATAATCATCTCACCCCAGTAGAGCAGCAAGCAATAAAAGCTGGTGAGGTTGTAGAGAGACTGGAACCCTTATTCACTGCTAGTGGGAGTGTAAAATGGTGCAACCACTATGGAAGGCAGTTTGGCACTTTCTCAAAAAGTTAGAAATAGAAATATCATTTGATTCAGTGATGCCACTACTGGGAATATACCCTAAAGAAACCGTAACCGCCATCCAAACAGATAAATGCACACCCATGTTTATTGCTGTGCTACTTAAAATAGCAAAGAAATGGAAGCAACCCAAGTGCTCATCAACAAATAAATGGATAGAAAAGCTATGGTATATTCACACAATGGAATACTAAGTGGCACTGAAAAACAATGAACTTGTAAAATATTACACAACATGGGGGACCCTGGAGCTCTTCACGCTGAGTGAAATATCTCAGTCACAAAAGGATAATTACTGCATAGCACCACTGTTATAAAACAGGTCTGACATGGGGGGTTGGGAGAAGAACTGGGTAAGAGTAGATAGATAATGACCACTGAATAAGGAAAGACGAAAGAAAAAAGTGTCTAAAAGGAACATATTACTAGGCATTATACACATTAACAATAATCCTGAATAAGAGGTATATCATTACAAAGAGGACTGGGCAGGAGGTGGGAAGAGGTAATTGTGCAATAGCAAATTAATATTTTTTAAACTATGGTGAACTAGAGTAGGGGGAAGGGAGGGAGAGGGAGTAAAATGTGCAACAATGAGTGAATGAAAATCTAACTTCTCTGTAAATGTTCATTAAAATCACAATTTAAAAAGGGGCAGGGGTGAAGAGGAGCGAGAAAGAAAATAAAGAGGGGGGAAATAAAATCACAATTAAAATAAAATTTCATTTAAAAAAACAAACAATCCCTTTCTGTAAAACTTGAGACAACCGTGCTGATTCTGCAGGTGAACGCGGGGGACTCTGGGTCGTCTGAACAAACACTGCAGGAAAGGATCAGGCTTTCCTCTTAATTCTTCCAGCTCATCCGCTTCCATCCGCGTCATCTCCCAGGCCCCTCCCATGAGACTGACCCGTTCCAGGCACAGCCAATTCCTCCATGATGCTAGCTGAGCTCTGATGGCATAGTCCACAGGGAGTTGCCAGGGAGGCTAGGAGGGTGAAGAGCTTAGGCAGAAATAAGTCATGTCATCGGTGCTGGGCAGTTTCTAGGGGTGGGGTGGCCCGATCCAAGCACTTTCTGCCAACTCTCTTCTCTCCACACCCAGTCCATTACATCAGTGATTCCTTATTCAAGGAGCTCTGGGTAGGAGCAATGGATGCCGGGGGCTCTACCTTTGCCCTCTGGCAGCCCTGCCAGTTCCGGCACTCACCACATCCAGCAGGAACAAGCTGCTGTCTCCTTTTCCTGAAATGTCGCAGTTTCCAAGAAGGCAGCACACAGATCCTGAACACAGAATGAAGTCTACTGTGTTTATTGTCATCTTTATTATGTGCCATCAACTGATAGCAACCCTTTGTACAACAGCTCTGAACCCTGCTCTGTCTTAAGCCAGCCTCACTGTTTCTCACGTACCCACCCCCATTACCTCAGTCACTGAGTCAATCCACCTTATCCAAGGTCTTCCTCTCCTATGCTGTCCATCCACCCTTCCAAGCATGATGCCCCTCTCCAAGAACTGGTCCCTCCATGCAATATGCAGCCCAATTTCTTTTGCATCACTGCTCATAGCCAGAGCCTTGTCCAAAATAGATATCTTGGATTCACCTTGCCCACCCACCCTTACTCTGAAGAAGTAGGGACCCCAGCTTATTTAGACATATCTAAAACATCTGCCCCTACTAAAGACAAATCAACAACCAGGCACATTTCACATGTAGCCATATTTTTTTTTAATATTCAAAAGCTCTGTACAAAAAAAAAAAATCATTAATGAATCCTCACAACACCCCTGTGAGGTAGGCAAGTATTAGTCTCCCATTTTACAGATGGGGAAACTGAGGCAGAGAGGTGAAGTGGCCAGCCATTGGTCCCAGCACAGCATAAAAGTCAGGGCCAACCACAAGAACAGGAAGATTCTTCCCATTTCAGCTCTACTCTCTGGCCCCTCATCAAGACCTTGTCTGTGAAGAACTAAAACTTTTAAAAAACATGCAATAATAACAATGAATCTGGAAAGGTAGTAAACATATACAGTAGTTTTGCAAAAGAAAATTCTGCCAAGATGGTCAAATGGTTTCCAAGAGTGAGCTGACGGGAGCGATGTCAGCCTCTGCAAACATCCTGGCCAAAGACTCCTCCTCTGTTTTGCTGCAGAAATAGACAGGGTGCTGAGGTTCCCCACTCCGAGGAGACCAGGCAAGGCGGACAGCACGCCCCCTGATCACCTCCTGTTGTCAGCTAGCACCAACCCCATCCGAGGGCTCCCCACTGACCGGCCGTGGATGGTACAGCCTCTAGTTCAGTGGGGCCTGCCCCATTCTAATCTCAGCCAGGGATGGCCGAGAAGTCAGTCGGTTCCCTCACACTACCCTAAGCCCACCCTCTCACACGCCACTATTTACTCAAGGCCACCCTACTAATTACCCTTGAGCTCAGCAATCTTTGGAGCTCCTGCTAGAGTTGGAGCCCAGGGCTATCTTGGGTTGTGGAGATGGAGGTGCAGGCAGACCTGAGACTGGACACGTTGGCTTCCTCAGTACCTCCTGCCCGGGCTCTCAGGCAAACCAGGCAGGCCTCTTCCACAGTGCTCCATCACCTGTGGGAAGTTCTTCCTGACCCCTGCATGTCTGCTTACAGCTGCCCTGGGGAGACCTCCTCAGTCCAGCCACGGGAGGGAGGGGAAGGCAAAGAAGCACGGGCTCCGTGGTCCCATCAGGCCATGCAGCTGTTCTACAAGTCTCCTAGGCTGGAGATGGGGCATGAGAATGAAAGCTGTGTAGAGCCTTTAACTAATAAATCCACCCAGGGAGCCCCCACCCCAGGCAGCTGGGACCCAAAGGTAGTGTTCAGGGAGCAAAAAAGGGAGAGGCAAGAGAGACGGGGAGAGGGAAGGAAGGGAGTGAATACTGGTCAGTGCCCATGCTGTGCTGTTCTCAGCAGGGCGAGGAAGGAACAGAAGTGACAATGAGCAATGCTGGCCAATTCACGGAGTGAGCACCTTGGGGACTTGAGTGCCCACTCATCTGTGACAAGGCCGCCCACATGCCCTGCCACTCATATGGTGGTGTGCCAGTCCTACCCCACTTTCTCTCAAGGAAGAGGAGAAACCTTTTCCTCAAGGCCAGAACCCCTTGGGGCCACTCTTAATGAGGAGAACCTGAGGCTTTTGACAAGCAAGCATGGGGGGCTTGCGAGGGGCTAGAAGCAGGTGGGCTTGCCCCCTACAGGGCATCTTCAGTGTGCAGCTCGGGGCTTCGGCTCCACTCCTGCCACCGGTAACGGAGCCTGGCTAAGGGCTGGCCCTCCATGTCCTCGAGTTCAGGGAAGCCCAGCTGATTGAGGATCTCATAGATGCCAGCCTTCGAAGCCACCTGGGAGAAGAACAGAGACGCACAGGTTCATAGGGAAGTGGGCACCCCAATCTACTTCCCCAGTGTCCCTTCCTCATTATGTACCAAGCCAAAGCTTGACCAAGTTTGCTTTGGGGACCCTGCTATCTTCTCTGAGCTGCAGCTTTCTTAGGACTGAGAAGTCTCTGCTTCCCAGGGTGCCATCCAAAGGGCTGGACAGAATTTGTCTGGAATCCTAATTTGGCAATACTTATGCCACTGACAATGGACTTAATACCCCTGAACTGTATACTCAAAAGTAGTAAAAGATGTAAAATTATAAAGCACGGTCAGCACTCCGCAGACTGGAAGTGCTGGACAGATGTACAGTGATGTCTGTTGTCCAGTGAGCGGCATGGGAGGTGGGCACCTGGCCTCCTTAGCCCTCACACCCCTTGTGGTCACTCAGAGCACAGGCCTGGCTCGCTGTGGGCATTCAAGTGGGCTTGCCAGGAGGAGTGGAAAGATGGCTACTCCGGGGGTGTGGGCCAGGCTGGGAGAGCCCACCATGAACAGGAAGCAGAATTGAATCAGTCCTGCTTCCTTGTGGTGTAGGCCCTGAAACAGACCCAAACCATTCCACCACCAGCCCTCTTCCCTCTGCTACCATTCTGAGAGATGAGGAGGATCAGAACTAAGAGGCCAATGTTCTTCTGCCCTGCCCTCTACTAACCTCCAGGAGAGGGGCTGGGGGCCTCGGAGGCTGGAGCCTTCTCTCCGTCCTTGGCATCCCCCAATGCCCACCACAGCAATTCAGCTGGGAGGGGATCAAGCCTCCTCCCCAGCCCTGGCTCCATGACCCCTTCTCCAAACAGAACCCAAGCAGAAAGCATCCTTATTCCTCACAATCCCCAGCCCATCCACGGCTATATGAGGAAGATGAGCCCAGAACTGTTCAGGAGGGTGGCCCAGATGTGGACAGTTGTGGCCCTGCCAGGTCTCCTGGCTCAGCACCCATCCACATACATGACGGGTGATTTCAAACATGTCCACTCTGGTGGAAAGGTCTGCCTCCAGGCTGGTCCCCAGCCACCACCGTCCTGTCCCAGCACTCAGTGACTTCCTAGCCTGTGTACCCAATGGCTAAGAGTCCAGGCTACACCTGTCACCCCATGCCCTTCCTCTACCACCTGGCTCGAGTTCCAGGCTCCTGATCTCCCCCAATCTGTGGTCTGCCCATGACCCACAAAAGCTAATTGTAACCTGCAGAACAGGGCTGGTGAGGTCAGGAAGGCCAGATTCCTCACAGTTGGGGGAATTACAGGTGGCTTTGCTGAAGAAGGAAAGGAGGTCTCTCTTCTGACCCAGAGAGGCCAAGGGGACAGTTGGAGGAAGAGCCAGGGCCAAACAGACAGGAGTCCAGGGTTGAAGGCACCATCGCAAACAAGCACCTAGGGGCTTTGGAGCCAATCAAGTGGCTCTGAAGCTGCCCTTGAAAGAAGTATTGAACTTCCCTCTACTCAATTCCTTCTAAAAAACAAGAGAGTAAGAGTAACACCATTAAGACACAGCTGCCTAGCACAAGGCCAGGCAGCCATAGCCTGTCCATCTCCCTCAGAAGCCCATCACTGTCCCGTACCTCGGTGGTAACATTCCTGATGCTAGTCCCGTTTTAAAATAGAGGACAGTGCTTCAGAGCTGTTAAATGGCTTGGGCATTGTCACAGCTGGCCAGTAGTGGAGGCAGGGCACTTCACCACCATATCACCTTGTCTCTTGTAAAACTGAGGAAAGGGGAGGACAGTGCCCAGGCAGGCCTGGTTCCCTCTCTTCCGTCCACCCCACCAACAGTGAGAACCTGCACCCCAGGAGGGACCCCACTGGCACTCTTGGTGCTGTCTACTCCGTCCTCCGCATTCATTCACTCTTCAACCCACTGACCGCCAAGGACAGAGACTCAGCAACACGGACACTTCCTGCAGACTGAGCAGGGAGCCCATGGGGAGACGAGCAGTCTGTGTAAGACCGTCATGCCGCGGCCCCTCTCTCACCTCCCGCATCCAGGCGCTGAAGGGCCTCTGCCAGGAGTCGGCCTTCTCTAGGTGGAGGTAAGCATTGAAGAGAATCAGGTAGATGTAGCGCTCCAGGTACTGCAGGCTCCTCAGCTGCAGCCGCCGTGCCTCCCGCTCCCCTTTGGCTGCCTTTGCCTGGAGGAAAAGATGGGGGACAGTCAGGGGCAGAGTTACACTGACACCTGCCGCCCTCCACACACATCATATGGACACGCAACACACACACACCCCACACACAAATCACATGTACACATCACACACATGACATCCCATATATACACCACAAACATACACCATGGAATACACATACACACACACCACCATAGACACATCACACAGACACATGACACACATTACATCACATATGTACAACACAGACATACAACATACACACACCACACACAATACATCTACAGGCAAGGATTTTGAAGCTCCGCCTCACATACTCTGGGCACATGGCCAGGAGAGACTGGTCCTTGGAGAAGGACATCGTGCTCGGAAGGGTGGAGGGAGAGCTCAGGAAAGGAAGACATTGGATGAGATGGATTGCTAGTCTGGAGTAGTGGGTTGGTGTGTCGGAATTAGTGAGACTGGCTCAGGACAGGGAAGGGTTCAGCTGGTGTCCATAGGGTCACTGTACATCACAGGTGACTCAATGGCACATAACAACAAAAACATACTATATTGGTTGTTGTTTTTTATTTAAGCCTCTTGCTTAGAGTCAACGAGACCTTGGGGAGGGCCTCTGTATTTAAAGTTGGTTGTTATATTTTGGAGGAACATTCTTCTAAGTGGTACAGCCCTCTTCTGTCAATATGCTGTACTGAGGTAATCCGGAATTGCTGTGATGCTGAACCTTGTGCCATTGGGGCTTCAAACATCATAACAGTTACCCATGGTGGATGGTGTTTGATGGAGCTCCCAGTTTGAGACAAGTCTGGAAGCAGGAGTAGCATCCACAACATGTCTCCGGAAACTCTACGAACTTTGATAAATTTTGATAGCTACAGAAAGGCTTCAGGCCTTTAGTTCATAGAATTACTATGAGTAGTGCTCGATTCAAAGGCAATCAACAACAATTTTATATATATACCAAACACACATGCTACATACAGACATACACCACACAACATACGCAAGCCACACACACATACACCACACACTTCTGCTACATAGAGACACCACATAACACATCACACACATCAAACATAACGCATACACCACACATGCATGCTACATATACCACGAACACACCACACAACACACATAAATACTACACATATACACCACACTCTATGCACACATGCTACATACTGGCATACACCACACACAGATCCCATGGACACATGACATACACATCCACCACACACCCCCCTCATGTATACATCACACACATTACATCCCGTATATATACCACAGACATACACCACATACACCCACCACACAATACACATATACATCACACACTACATACACATATACACCACGCACATCAAGCACACACACTACAACACACATGTGCTACATACATAAACCATACAACACATCAAACACAACCTACAGATATACCACACAAGCTGTATGCATATACTACAAACACCACACCATACACATAAATACTACACACACACCCCCCACATGCACGCATACTCATACTGACATTCACCACACACACACACCATTCACAAATAACAGGTACACCTCACACACATTACACCCCATATATACACCACACATACCAAAAACATATACCACAAAATATACACCACACACATCTGCTATATGCACACACCATGTATACCTGCTACATACAGATATACACCACGCAACACAAAACACAGAGTACACACACATCAAACAACAATACACACATACATCACGAACACAGACTACATACAGACATACCACCACACATATACCTCACAACACACCATGCATGCTACATACAAACACAATATACATATACATCACAAATGCATGCTACATACATCACACAGCACATCACACACATATACACCATACATACTATATGCACACATGCTATATACATGTATACATACATATACCATACATACACTATACATACATGTCACACATATATACACCACATATATCCTAATACACATACATGTGTACATTACATATACAACATAAGTATACACAGCACACACACACCCCATACATATATACCACACATAAATCACATCACATATAAGCACCAAGCACACCCAGATATACACTGCACACCACATGTATACAACACACACATACTCCCCAAGCACACTGTTGTTGCCATTAGGTGCTGTCCAGTAAAAAATGACTCATCACTGGCACTCCAGTGGTCTTCAGAGGTTGTAAATTGCACAGGAGGAGACTACCCTTCCTTTTCCCAGAACAACTGGTGGATTCAAACTGCCTGCCCTTGGGTTGGCAGAGCAAGTCCTTACCATGAGGCCACAAGAGCTCACATATACAAAAATACACCAGGCATATACATCGAACCACTGCCCTGAGTACCAGAAGTGGACTGGAGTGGAGAGAAGGCATTTAGACGGCAAGGCCAAGGGTGTGACCCCTACCCAGGGGCACAGCTGGTGCCTCGGTGTCACCCTCTTGTGGCATGAGGCACAGACTTGCCAGTCACCCAGCCTCCCTGAGACACCTGTCACTGTGGAACCAGAACCACCATCCTGCTGTCCTATCCTGAGATAAGACAAGACAGCACAAGACAGACAAGATTAACCTTTAACACGGAAGTCCCACACAGACAAGGCCTGGTGAGGTCGCAGCCCCAGGCTGGACACCCTGGTTAAGGTTCTACCAAGCTCTAATCATAAGGCAGGAAGGACCCTTTCTGCCAACTCCTGACATCCTCAAAGGGCACATCTCTCTGGCACTCTCAGCCTCCCAGGACGGTGGGTGGTAGGCTGTCAGCTCCCCTCTCTCTTCCCTCAGCCTCCTCAGCTGATGTGGGGCCATTTCCCCTCCTCCATCCGCCTCATTTGCTGATTGGTTTGGGCCCGGATTGAGGACCACATCTCAGACTGGAAGGGAGGCCCCATCATAGGCTCTGACCCTCCTGGTCCCGAACTGACTTCTCTGTCTGTTCTACATGGTTCAGGCCTCAGAGGCAAAGGGTGTATAACGAGCCCTGTGACTAAGCTCCCAGTCTGAGGAAGTAACAGAAAAGCCGAGGGACACAGACCAGCAAGCAGGTGAAGCAGCTCGAGAGGAAAGATCTCAAGTGGGAGTGGGAGCAACAGTAGTTTTAGCAACTGTGGCACCAGGCTGCCTGGTGGGCACACAGCCTGGTGAGGTGTGCACAGAGATGCAGGTGCCAGATGGGGCAGCACAGAGGGAGACTTAGCATGTGGGCTGTAAGAGACAGGCCTGGGTGGGCCAAGGAGACTGAGGAACAAGAAGGGAAACTGGAGGCTGGGATCCAGGGGTGAGAGGTCCTGGGAACCTGGAAGTTTCTCTTCTAGGCTGGGTGTTCATAAGCATGAAGTCCACACAAAGTGTAGATGCCTGGGCCCCACCAGAGAACAATCCAGTGAGAACCTCTAAAGGATAAAATCTGGCCTCAAGATTGTTAGAAACTCCTGAATAATTTCAAAACATGTTGATCAAAGACTCTAGCATTGAAGGATTTTAACAAAAGGGGAGAAATACAGAACAGGACTTCAAATTCACATGAAAACCAAACTTTCTGGAGCCACTGAGGATAGACAAACCCTTGAAATAATTGCTCCAAGATAATCTTTAAACCTTAAAGCAAAAAATATCTCCTAAAATCTTCTTAAGACCTTAATAGCTTAACAACCAACAAAGGTTACCTTCAACCTTGTGCTCTTTAAAGAATGTGAGATCAAATCAATTAGACAGGAAACTTTTGAAGGACAGTGAATTTAGGCCCCAAGGATACTTATGGGGCCAGGAGAACAATTCAAAAAAGGCAAGGAGGATGGTTGCACAATTGGTAAAACGGAATCAATGCACCAACAGAAATTGGTGAACTGGTATATATTCTGTTGTGTATAGTCTCAATAATCAACAAAAAGAAAATCATTCAAAATAATAATAAATGGTTAAAAGGGATAAAAAACCTCCCAGATAGTCTCTGGAGGAGTTGAGGAGGAAGTGGCCTGATAAGAGGAGACCATAGAGGGATATTGGCATTCGGGAGGGAAAGAACTTTAGGGGTCCTCACAAGGTTGTCCCCAGTTTGGGGGTTGGGGGGGCAGGCCAAGCTCCTCCTCAGGATTCCCCCGCCCCAACACCTGCTTTTCCCTCCCTAACCCACTACAGATGTGCCAACACCCAGTCCACCTCACATGACAGCAGCTATGTAGGGGGACACCCCACAAATTCCCTTCTCACTGCACCCTCAGGCCTCCATCCAGACCCACAGCAGTTCTCCACTCTGGGAAGATACCTTGGCACAGGGCACAAGGCTGACCTCCCCAGGTCAGCATGTCCCAGGCCTCTGGGAGCCAGGAAGTGCTGGTCTCCCCACAACAGCTGGGTCAGAGCTAGAAAACACAGGCCCACAATGTCTGCCTAAGTCTCTATTTCCCCTCAGCTGCTGAAGAAAGGCCCCTGGATGGGCACAGAGCCAGGAATCAGACCCAGAGTGGGCCTGCTCATGGGACCTGCAAGACCCTCTCCCTGGTCAGCACTTCTTTCTTAAATGGCTCGGCCTTTTTTATTCCCAGCGCCGTTTGAATGTGAGCATGCAAAGTCAACCAGCCATGACATCCTGAACGGACTGGGACTCAGAGACGGAGGGGACTTGGGAAGGGGACAGTGAGCTTCAAGAGGAGCTACAATATGCCCGTCACCAAAGATGAGGAAGACTCAGGGCCTGTGCTCAGAGACACAAGATAACAACAGCCAGACACTGCATCAAATAACCACGAAGGAGCGCACGAATGTGTATGTTTGAGGTGGTTCAGGAAGAAGAGAAGGAGCCCTGGTTAACACAACATTAAACACTGCCAACCTCAAGGTTAGTAGTTTAAATCCAGCCAGAGGCTCCACAGGAGACGGGACTAGGAATTTGCTCTAATAAAGACTACAGTCGACAAAACTAGGGCCGTGCTATTATGTAATGAGGGGAGTTCAACTCAGTAACA